GCTATCTTGATTATCACTTCAAAAGTTTTTTTTCTCTTACTTAATTGGCCTCTCAGAGTTGGTAAGACAACTCCCACCTGTTCATGCTCTCTATATGTGTGTATATATATCTCCTCAATGTTTCACTCTATATGCATCCGAAGAAGTGGGTTGTGGCCCACGAAAGCTTATGCTCTAATAAATTTGTTAGTCTTTAAGGTGCCACAAGTACTCCTGTTCTTTTTGCGGATACAGACTAACACGGCTACTACTCTGAAACTTCTCCTAGGAAGTTAGTCCCCTCTTGAGCCCCATCTCACGGCTCCCAACTCCTTGAAGCTATTGGAAAGACTGTTCTCTTTCTGCTTACCCTGGAAGCTACTTGGGGCAGGGACTGTGCCTTTGTTCTGTGTCTGTACAGCACCTGGCACACTGGGGCCTGGTCCATGACGGGGGCTCCTAGGCACTACTGCAATACAAAGAAATAATAGTAATGATTATCATTATAATAACAATAATAAGCCACACGTAGGAGAGGGTTCAAAGAAGAGCCACGAGAATGATTAAAGGATTAGAAAACCTGCCGTACAGTGATAGACTCAAGGAGCTTGATTTATTTAGCTTAACAAAGAGGTTAAGGGGTGACTTGATCAGTCAATAGTACCTACCCAGAGAACAAATATTGAAGAATGGGCTCTTCGATCTAGCAGAGAAAGGTCTAACACGATCCAAAGGCAGGAAGTCGAAGCTAGACAAATTCAGCCTGGAAATAGGGTGTAACGTTTTAACAGTGAGAGTAATTAATGGCTGCACCAACTCATGGAGAGTTGCCCGCGATGGGGAATCCACCACAATTTGTAAATCAAGGCCGGAATTCCCGTCGGAAAGCTCTGTGTTACCGGGCAGGTCAGACTAGGTGGGCCCAGTGGGCCCTTCAGCCTGGGAATCTAGGCATTAGACTGTATTAGTGACCAGCTCCAGCACTGGCCTCCGCTTGCAGGCCGTGGCCCCGTGGGACAGACTGTGCTCCGTGCTCATTTGTTCAGAATCCGAGCAGCAGTCACAGGAGTGGGTCCCTTTCTGGGAGTGCAAGGGGACTGAATTGCTGCTGCTTCTGTGCTAGTTCGGCTGCTGTACCCAGCTGTTTGCATTGGCCAGTGCTCACAGCAGGCACGGTGTCTTTACGTTGCAGGGTACGAGTCGAGAGCCTGCAGCGACTCCGAAGACTCTTGGGAATTGGATTCCTCTGCAGAGCGCTTTTTGGACCCCCCCTGGCTGAACCCCGGCAGCATCCAACCTCTGTGTGAGGAGGAGGCGGAGCAGGAGGAGCTGCCTGAGCTGGAGCCAGAGAGCAGAAACCCCAGAGGCAGGAGTGACGTGACGGACAGTGCGTCCGAAGCCTCTGACTCGGCCAACACCGAGAGCAGAGGTTGCAAGACCAGTGGCTCGAGTGACTCGATGGACGCTCTGGAGGAGGACGACTTAGAGGCCTGCTCCTCCAGCAGGCCACAGTTCCTCCAGTTTTTCACACCCACTATTCAAGAACTCAACTGCCAAGACAAGAGCATCTTCGCTCTGGCCAACAAGGAGGAGAGCGGTGGGGCAGAGTCTGAAGATTTCCTTTGTTTCTTGCAGTTATCCCAAGGAAGCCACCCTGTGCCTGAGCAGACAAGCCCCGAGCAAAGAGGGGAGAATGAGGCGGATGCTTCGGCTCTCAAGACCAAGCTGTCGGAAGAGAACGTGATGGAGTATTACAGTCTCTGCTCCAGTATATCCCCAGGCAGCAACGGAGAGAGAAGCGTCCTCAATCATAGCCCAGGGAACGGCTCTGTGAAGGACCTGCTGGCTGAGTCAGGCCAGCAGGAGGGATTCTGCAAGGTAGATCCAACAGCAAAGGAGACTGACCTCATCCTGCACCCGCCTCCGGGCTTCGGGGACACCAGCTCCGAGGATGAATTCTACGATGCCGCGGACCGGCTGACCCCGACAGACACCCTGGCAGGTGCGCTCAGAGAAGAGGTTATGTAATAAATCAGCTTAGTAGGGCAGGGACGCTCTCTTACCCTGTGCACCTGGCAGGACAGGACCTGATCATTCCTGGGGTACTCTGGGTGGTACGGCTGGACGAGTGATGAATAATGAACCTAGGGGTGGTCATGCGTCAGATCCACAATGCCGAGAACACGTCCCCCTTATTCAATTTCCCAAGGTTGTCCTGAAGCTCTTTGGACTCGCAAACAAGCTTTAAACGTCCCTTCTCCAAGAATGAATCCCTCGCAGGCAGAAATGCCGTGCAGAGAGAGCACCTCGCTATCGGAGCTATAGGGTTGGGTGGGATTTTTCAGTAGCACCCAGGTGAGTTCAGAGCACCAGTCCCAGTGAAAGTCATGGGACCTGTGCTCCTAAGACAGTCTGGCATTCTCGAAACCCCACCCGCTATCACAAGCACACCAGAGTACAGACACATATGGAACACGCATGTTATTTAAAGGTATACGTGTCTTTAAGCCTCCGTAGTACCCATGTGAGTTTGTTGTGTTCGCTGTGTACATGATGGACTTTGCAAAGTGTGTGTGGTCCCCACGAATGCTGTGGGAGGTGCAGCTGGCCCAGAGGCTGACGGCTGTGCTCGGGGGTGGCGTGGGCTGGCAGGAATCCTGGGAGGTGTAGATACAGGAGCAGGCCAGAAGAAAAGGAAGCGGGAAAGCCGTGTAGGGAGGGAGGAGCCACTGTGTGATGGTGGGAGGCTGCCAGGAAAGAGATAGGGACCCATTCCTGCCAGGCTTGCCTAACCCCTGACACCGAGCGATGATTCTTAGACATTCTTAAATCCTAAGGAAATCCCCAAACTAAAAGTTGAAAAATGCTATCGCTTAAACTCAGCCCCAAAACCTCAGGAGAACCCACTGCAGCTTCCTCTCCCTTCCCCTCGGACAGATCACAAACTACCATTCCGTTTTACAGCCCACCAGCCCACGTCTGGACAACACAGAAATGCATAGCTACGGGCACTCACGCAGCCTTCGCTTCTTTTCCCCTAGTTCCAACCTGAAACCAGGCAGAAATTCCAAGACCACCTTATTCATCCATCACCCCCACCAATTAAGGCCTAGAGTAAGCCACGAAGAAGAAAAGTTTTCAAAAGAAAAATGATTCGTTAAGCAAACAGGCATGCCATTAGCACTTACACCCTGCTACAATTATACTCCCACTCCAAACGGTGTGTCAATGGGTGATACGTCCCCGGACAACAGAGTGAGCTACAGCCTTACTATCCTGGAACCTAACCGTACCTTTTTCATGAATTTACCCCTTTTATAATTAACATGAAACTGCCCTTCCCCTGAATTCTAGTTCTACCACCGCCTTATGGGCTCTTTACAATCCACACTATTGAAGTTAACAGCTGCACCCCCGTCCCTCCCATGCTATCAATAGAGATCGCATTTTAACAAACAGTTCTCAAAAACACTCATTTAAAAACCCTGCAAAAACCAGCTACCACGACCAGCAGCTTGTAACAAAGCTAGACTAGCCCCCGTTCAGCAGTTAGTGTAATTAACCCTGGGTCATGTCCTTGCTAAGTCTTACTTTCCCATAACACACAGTCTCCTATACTCTTGTATGCTTAGGCCCCAAACCTAACTTCTGCTTAGTACTTAACCTAAACCATCCTATGAGCTACCCCCTCTGTGCCGAGCCACGTAGGACGCAAGTTTGTCACAGCCCCCCATTTACAGAGCTTTAGCTCAAACTATAGCAGTTCGTGCTTTTAGTGCTCAAGGGTCCCCAGTTCAATCCCCGGTGTCTCAGCCAAGATGGCCGCCATCCCCGATGCGTGGTTCTCAGCAGTCCAGGAGATCCCATGAACAACCCGTGGCCCTCTGTGTGTAGCCAGTTACACACACGTGTGTGGTACACTACCATTTCCTTACCCTTGTGTTCTCTTCTTTCCTGGCAGGCTTTAAGGCACTGACCCGTGAGGGGAAGGGCGATTCCTGCTTCCTGAAGAAGTCAAGGTGCTGCAACCTGGGGGAAAGCTGCATGTCGAGACAAGCTACCAGGGAGAAGCACAGAAAGGAGAAGGATCTGAAGCATGCCAAGAGCCTGAGAAAGAGGAGATCTTTCCTACAGACGGATTACACGTCGCAGGTTACCTTCCCGGTGGCTCCATCCCCCGCCCTGGAGAGCGCTGATCCTGCGTGCTGCTCTGAACGGGAGTCCCAGCTGCCCTCCATCTCTCTCACTCGCATGACATCCTCCTTGGACGACTCCACCGGGGAACCCCCGCTGCTGGAAGCCAGGACCTTTGCCCAGCTAGAGCCTCGGAGCCAAGCCAAGAGTAAAAACCCTTCATCTGCCTTCATGGAAATGGAGCCTGACGCCACGGAAACCAACTCAGTAACCGCCTCGGTCATCCCTTCCGTTTCAGCCAGTCAGCTCCAGGGTGACCAGGAAGGGAAAGAAACTTCGGACCTAACCCCGTTGCCCAGCTGCGCGGAGAACAGCCTGGGGCCTCTTGGTTCTGCATGCGCGCGTGACAGTGGCTGCGTCAGTCCTGAATTATCCTTCCATTTGGGAGGCATCAGAAACCCAGAACAAGCAGGAGGCGCCTGGGACAGCCCCGGTGGCTGTGGTCGCCCATTTTCTGAAACCGAGGATGGATGTATAACCCGCACGGTGCCGCAAGAGCAGCCGATGCCACAGAGTGCCGCGGAGGCTCTGGAAGCCCACCGTGAACTCGAGACGTCTGCACATCCGGGCGAAGGAGGGATACCTGCTAGTGTGGAGCCAGTTCTTTCTCCATTGGGGTGCTACAGAGGCAAGCCATCGCCCCAGGCTGCAGCTTCAGACCTGGGTTCTCTATCCACGGCCGATAAAGGAGAAGCATGTGAACAGCTGGTGCCATCATCTCCCTTTGCAAGGGGAACAGCTGGTCCCACTAGCTGTGCAGTGAAGCCAGAGGCTGAAATGGTATCTGGAGAGAAAACCAACACGAACCTAAATGAAGAACCCTTAAAAAGAGTGGAAGATAAAATCCATTTGGGTTTCTCTAATGCCACGGAGCTGCTGTCAGACTTTAACGGAGCCTCGGGAATAATCACTCGCCTCTCCTGGCTTTCGTTTGGAACCAGGACAGACCTATGCCCCCCTGCCGGCAGGGCACTGCTTGAAGATACCGACCAAGCGGTTGACCAAAGTCCCTGGACAGCAGAGCATTGCGACTCCGGTGCCCTAAGGAAGGAAACGCGTTTTTCCTCAGCTTCTCCGAAAGCGCCTCCTCCTCCGGAGCTGCTTAGTGGCCAGCGCACAGAGGAGAGAGAACCCAGAGAAGATGCAGTGTGTGTGGATGGTCGCCACGAGCAGCGCCAGCCCACTCTGACTCCCCTTCTCACGGAGGAGACCGCAGAGCAAAGAGAGGGCTGCCACTTCAACACATCACCGGGGCTACGTTCTCCTTCCCCCAAAGACACGGGTGGCGCCTCAGCACACAGAGAAGGAAACTTTGGTGCAGATCGATCGCTGCTTTGTGTGGCCCATGAAAAAGATGCCCCGGTGTCTACGAGCTGCAGCACAACTCGTCCTTTGGGCTTGACCAGTGTTAAGGGGACCCTCTTCCCCAAAGCTGGCACGGACAAGTGCAGCTGTCACTTGTCTTATGCCAGCTGCTTCCGGGGGCTAGACAACGACCTCGAGTATGAGTATGTTGATTCTGCACACAGCACTTCCTCCAGGCCTTTAACAACCCCACCGGCTGCTGGGAGCTTGTCGTTTCTAGACCAGCCCCCTCCCAGGACCACGGACGAGAGTGTGAGTGAAAACGGCCCAGGGCCAGAATCTCACCCGGAAGTGCTGGCTCAGTTGCAAGAGAGAGCAGGGAAGTCATCGGCTGACTTCTCTCCGTTCCTGGCAAATGTGGCAGAGCTCCAGGCCGTTGTGAGGCAGTTCTCAGGAAACCGAACGAAACACCCTCGAGACACGTGCGCAGAACATTACTCTGAACACAAGCACGTGCTCTGCGCGGAGTCCCGCAAGCTGATGGCCAGCTGCCAGAAGGTCCTACAACCAGACAGGCCTTCTGAAGAGCTGCCCAGTGCATTGCAGGAGACCTTCCAGGACCTCATGCGACTGACGGCGCTGTGTTTCCAGTTCACAGCCTGTGGACTGTGCGGGAGACGCCACAAGGAGCTCACCGTCAATCTGAAGGACGTGGTTTGCACCTACCATCAGTTTGTCCGCGCTGCTCTCCAGACCGGGGGGAAGGACTGTCGCGATTTCAGTGCCACGCTGCTAGCACGGCAGGGCACGGCCCTCACGGCAGCAGTGTTCTGTCTAACCCAGCAGTTCAGGGCAGCGCCGGCGGTGTGAAGACAGCAGCTCCGTGAGACAGACTCTTAAACTCGTGTACCGCTGACAGGAAAGTACCCAACAAACGTTTACTGTATAACCCATTAACCCAATAAAATATCTCCCGCAGAAAAGCAATGCGAGTCTTTCAGCAGTCTGGCCACACACCTCAAGGCAGGATCATGCACAAGACTCAGCCGAGTTTGGGTCAGCTGCCCTGTTTGCTCACTCGAGGACATTCCAGTCCATCAGGGGATAATGTTGGGGGAGGTGAGTCCACAGCCCGCCCACCCGCTCTGTCTGTATAAAAAATAATGGTCTCGAACGCAGAGCGCAGTTTGTGGCTTTTTTCCCATGGCTCCAGTTTGGGGTGTGTTTCCTGGGTAGCGCGGCGTGTCGTCCCATCTTACTCAGGGCCGGCTTTAGGCCGATTCCGCCGATTCCCCGGAATCGGGCCCCGCACCTAAGAGGGCCCTGCTCTCCTGGCCGGAGCGTGGCCCCGCTCCCCCGGCCGGAGCGCCGGCCCGAGCCCCGCGGCCCCGCTCCCCCGGCCGGAGCGCCGGCCCGAGCCCCGCGGCCCCGCTCCCTCGGCCGGAGCGCCGGCCCGAGCCCTGCAAGTCCGTGGCCCCGCAACCCCGGCCGGAGCGCGGCAATCCGAAGTGCCACTGAAGACTAGGAGCGCCACCCGGTGAGTACAAGCCCCACGAATCGGGCCCTGCACTTGCTAAAGCCGGCCCTGATCTTACATTTCAGACATTGTAAACAGGCACTGAATGGAACATAGCGTCCGGCAGCAGGGTCAGCTCTGCATTCTCCACCCCAGAATCTCAGGGCGGCTGTCGGAGTTGCAATGGAAACTGATTTTGTAGAATCCGACTCCAGTACCTGCAGCGCTAAGTCGTTCCACTGCCAGTGGTTCCTCTGCAGCTTCCAGAGAACTTAACACCTGAAGGCAGCAGCAGCGTGGTATAACCACGAACCAGCTACCACGACCAGTAGCTTATAACAAAGCTAGACTAGCCCCCGTTCAGCAGTTTGTATAACGCAGCAACTGCCTTGAAATCATTGAAGGCAGCAACTTACTAAGCAGAAGGCAGGACATGTTCCCAAAACTCCCCTCCCCTTCTCCCTGTAGCCACGCCCCCTGGGACTAGGCGGGGGCAGAATGGGAGTGCGACCACAGGGCATTAGGCACTGCGTCATATGGACAAGCTCAGCGCAGGGTTAGACAACACTTAACACGGCTGTGGCCTCTGCTTAAAAGGCTGCCTTCCATTAGACAACTCAGGCACTTACACATTCCAGCAAAAGCCTCTAACAGCAACCCCAACGTACAGATTCCACCCAGCAGAGCTGGAAGCTGAGCCATGAGACCACTTCAAAAAGCAAAGCCTCCCCCCCACCTGCAAACCCGCCCAAGGGTGCAGGGGGTCATTTTGTGCGGTGGCACTGCTAGAATTTGGAGGGAGGGCCAGGAGAGAGAGTCCTGGGGGAATTCTGGACCAAAAAATTAAACATTCTGCACACAGTATTTGAAACGTCTGCAAAATTCTGCATATTTTATTTGCCAAAATAACACACTCAGACCAGTTTCAATTAGTTTGGTAATTTATTTCATAATAGGTGTCAGCAAGTCTGTCTGTAACAATCCGGACAATGACAAAGATTCAGGAAATGTTTTTGACAAATAGGTGCCTTACTAGGCATATAAATACAGAACTGTATTTCTCACCGCCGCGCCCCCCCCCCCCCC